CACATTAAGACAGACTAATATGCATTTTCCTAGTACCTCAGGGTTCCTATAGATGTGCATGGAAATACTTACAATGTGTCAGAGCAGACTCAATTAATTGAGTCTGGTGGAGCGTGCTAATTAGTATGCTCTAGCCAGCCTCTGTCTCATGTACCAGTATGCTCATGCTTCAAAATGGTGGTGGGTCACTTTAACTAAACCTCATTGAACAAGCTTTAGTTAAAGCACCCCCACTACCATTTTGACGTGTGGGGATGCTGATACATGAGACACCACAGATACTTTAATTAAAGCAGCTCTCAGAGCCACTCTAATTAAAGTGCTGCACTCTCCCCCCACCACACCCCCCGATGTAAAAATGCCTTCACAGTAGAGGTACTTGATTTAATGTGCATTAACTAAAGTGCGTTAATGCACATGTAGACACGCCCACAGTGTCACAATGAGCAAACTGCAAGGCCTAAACTTTGCCTTCAGATATGTACATACAAAACTCCTAGTGAATTCATTTAAAAGGAATTCCTTCTGTGTACCCCAGAGGCATAACAGAGCAGCTCTGCATCCTGGGAAGTGGATATTGTTGCCTATTTTTGTGGCCTTCCAATCCCTCCTGTTCCCCAAGGGTGATGCCCAGAGCAGCTGCCCTGGTTGCCCTACATTATTTATGCTACTGTTCAGGACAGCATTCATCTTATCATCCACCTTTGAGTGCCTGCCTTGGGTTGGCCTGGACAACACAGGGAAAGTGCAACACAGTTCCAAAAGGTCACAAAAGGGCTTCTTTTTTTTTGGATACAGATCATTTGTCCATTCAGTAAAGTCAAATATTGGAATAATTTTTCAACAGTTAGTAGAACAGACTGCATAATTTTTATGTCTGAGTTTAACAGAATTACACTAAGAAACTATATAATATTTTACGAACCACAGCCACTAACCTTATTCTTCAGTATTGAAATGGTCTAATACAACTATGCTCTGATCACAGTCTATGCATGGAATATAGGCTTTAAGTAAGACTTCTCAACTTCTGGAATCTAGAGATTGCCAATCTTAATTAATTTCTCTTAAATAAATATTCTGGTTTGTTATAGTGGGCTGAGCATTGTTATTAGTGGCATTTCCAGAGCCTTGATCCCCAGTCAGGACCAGGGCCCCTTTATTCAAGACCCTGCAAACATAGAAGCACATTGTGTCTATACCCTTGTTAAGATTTCTTTAGCAGTTATGCATATTAAGTACCTCTTTCTGTAGGTCCAACCTTCAAAAAAGTCAAAAAACTTTAAAGCAAAAGATCGAAATATATATACTTACGAGAAAACAGAATTGCATAAACCACAACATGGGTGATTGGGCATGGGTGATTTATCAGTAAAAACAACAAAGACATACAGGAGACTCAGAGAAAGTTGTTCATTATGCTGCCTTTCAGAAAAAAATATCTAGAGAAATTTCTTTTCAGAGCAAGATCAATTGAACCAGCAGCATTAACCAACAGCAGAACAAACCAGGCAAGCAACAATTTACAATGTTTGGGTATTTTTTGACAGATCAGATCATCTCACAAGTCAGCACTGGGTTTTTCATACCTGGCATTTGAATTTTCTGTAGCAGGAGCTGCTAAAATACATCTTGCAAGCCAAATGTGACTCCTAGTCTAGTAAACAGGGCTTTTGACAAAAGGACACAGCCGAAACAGATTGCATGTTTCAAAGTGAAATACTTCATACTGATCTAGGAAGAAGGACTGAGCATTGTGTGACAGAATCTGCTGTGTCTCAGGGATACAGTTGTATTTTAAAGACAAAGTAATAGTTAATCTGTTCCATTTAATGGAAATTAGGTGTTGGATGCGGATTTAAATGGAAGCTGAGGGTGATTGGGCTGGGCATTGTGTGCAGCCCTCAGGCTTCAGTTCCAATAAAAAAGCAATATGGTCCTTTGCCAAAGTTCAGGTAGCTCCAAACACAAACTCATAAAATACTGTTGTTAGCATTTCCACACCAGATAAAACTTATTGATAAAAATATGCACAATTTTTAAGGCTGAGTTCACATTCAACAACCTTGATTTTTCAGCAGCAGATCTGTAATACAATCATTACTCATTAGGTCTGGTCAATGCAATGAACAACAATTTCTTTTGGTGTAGCATATCTGAAGAAACATTTTGCCTCAGCTGTGGTGGGAAAATTTTGCCTTCTAGGGCAGATATTGTGAAACCTCTGTCTTCTCTCTTTCAAAAACCTGTCAATATTGTTCAAATTGAACTTTTCACGGATTCGGTGGTTGATTGCTCACCTAATCTGGGAAATAATGGGGAGGTGGTTGAAGCCCTGCCTGAACAGTTGGCGGTAAGTGAAGAGTGGGAGAATAAATTCTGCAAAGTAATTTTCAAGGATTCTATGGTGGTGTGAGAAAGAAACTGGTGGTATTTTATGACATATATATAGCAGCCTGAAGAGCTTCCTGTGCTAAAGACAAGGTTACACTTTGCTATAATTTTTCTTATTCATCTTTCTAAGTTTAACCATGATGAGAAACATTTTCATTGACAATGGCATGTATCTATTGATCACTTTCTCCATGAAAATGCAGCCATCTTTTGACTGAAACTGTTTAACAATTCACATTAGCTTAAACAGGAAATAAGAAAGAAAACGGAGTTTTTGCACTATACAGTATGTTTCTGCCCCACCTTTTTTTGGGCAACTTCCTAACTTAGCAAACCACTCCAAATATTTTGCGTTATTAAGACAGCATTTCTGTAAAGTGATCAAATTTTGATTTTGACACCTTGGATGGTCATTTAAAGACATGTTTCACTGTGGCTAATTTAATTTTGCAAGAGCCTAAGGACCTCTATCTGATCTTACACTGGTGTAAGTTGAAAGTTACTCAACTGAAAGATTCTGCAGTAGTGCTATATTAATAATGTGTTTAGCAGTCGGAGGATGGATGTTAATCCACTCTGTTCATTAAAGATACCTGGTAATAAGAAGTTAATTGGTGCAAAGAGATTTCTAAAACTATTTTACAACTATGTACACAACTAAATATAAAAGTGAGCAAAATCATTTTCCCCATCTCCCCAAAAGAGATAGAACAATAGTTACCATTTTTGTAATACATCTTCTTAGCACTTTACAAACATTAATTTATTAATCTCTACACACATCCCAATCAGGAAGAGTAAATATTTTCATTCCCTTTTTTACACATGAAGAACTAAGTCAGTGACACATCCAAGGACACAGTAGGAGCTAATGTCAGAGGCAGTTAGAATTTAGTATTTCCTGATGCCCATTCATACGTTCAGAGAACTAGTCGCTACTTTTGTAGGGACTAGTGAAAAAGTTGAAATGCATCACACAGCAGTTGATACAATAACACTGAAAAAGTACAAAAAAAATACTTATACAAAATACTCAGTGAATGGAAAAGTTCATCAGAATAAGTGTAATTCTACATTATAGAAAAAAAATTTTTTAAAGAATAAACATACACTCAGCAAAAATGTTATCAAATTCACATCTTCAGAACAGTGACTAATAATACAGCTGCAGAACAATGATTAGATTAAAGAACTATTTTAAAAGCTGGCTTCAAAGTAATTGTAAATACTCATTTTGCAAAACAGCACATTTCACTCAGAGGGATATCCCCACGTAAAACCAGACAGCGTGATTGAATTGTCAGCTCCCACACATTCATATATGAAGATTCTCACGGTACCTACTGTTAATATTTCCTAGGACATTATGACTGTGGCAATTCTAAAACCAGCATACTTTAGGTCAAATTCTATGCTTATCTGTACAGACCCACTGACATCAATGAGATTGCATGTGTGTAAAAGAGGGCAGCATCTGGTCCAATAAAATTGAGGCTTAGCTTTCACTCATGCTGTTATAAAGCAGTAATGATATCACTGAAACCAGTGGAGTTACACCGGCATAAAACCAGTGAGAGTGAGATGAGAATAAGAACTTTTACCTTTCTATTCATTACATTTTCTTTATTTGGAAATTGTTTTTTAAGTAGAAAACTCTTGTAATCTGTTCTGTATGAACCTATTTGTTCCCTGAGGTACAGTAATGTCACACAGCCCAATCCTGCAGTCCTGACATAGGCAAAAAATCTATTTGCATAAATGGGAGTTTGCATGCATATTACTGTTTCAGAGTCAGACTCTACACCAAGTGAAGTCAACCTTAGTTTCACTATTGACTTTCCACAGCAGTGAACAAATGGTCTCACTGAATATGCCAAAAAACATACAATAATTAAAAAAACCCAAAAACCTAAACCCTAAAATAGCACACACTACTTATTTTAATATTACTGAGCGAGAGGTGAGTGGAGAGACATTTTAAAGAAAGTGATCAGAGCGGGTAAATAAAATGCAAGTGTAGTAGGGCCATACGTTTTTTAAGGCTCTGGGGAAAACATTTAAAAGCAAATGTGATACCATCTCCCCAGATATGGGTTTTCTGTGTTTTAATAATTTAGCCACTTAGGAAGACTTTAGGAATTGAAACACCCACAGAAAGTCTCTCTTGTGAATTACTGGTTAGAATATAGTGGTTCTGACAGGCCCAGGGAAAGGGCAGTATGGAGTAGCAACCTTTCGTGCCAAGTTTCAACTTTTTATAAGTATCAGTTCAGTACTGTACCTGTATTTCATTCATAATACAACAAAATTAACATGTTGCTATTATTGGAAGCAAATGTTCTAACACATACACATATAAAAAGTAAAATTTTCTTATGCTGCTATTAGTTTTCACAAAAATAAAGTCAATACAAAATGTATTTCTATCTTTGGTGTTTATATAGTGCCAGTCACCATAGTATCTAGGCACAGATGCTACAGTATACTGTTTGCTAGTAACAGTTGAAAAGTCCCATCAGTACTTTGCAACTATAAGGGACACTAACATATTTGGAACTGCCACAAAAATATTTAAGTAACTTGTTTAGACACATTTAAAATCCCAATAAATCTAAAATACCCATGTTCTGGTCTTAGAAAAAATAATCCTTTTTACTTCAGTAACACTCTATGCTCTCCTCGTGCTATATGTGAGGAGAACTCATATCTGTCATGGCTTCTGTAGCCACACATGTTGCACTCAAAAGGATCACGGAATCCATGGCATCCCATATGAATGGTAAACATCACATAATCCAAAAAGAGGACACGGCAGTGGTCACATCTGTAGACCCCAATGGCTTCACCTTCCTTATTGATGACCTTAAAGGCATCACGTGGACATATAGTTGGCGGCTTGATGATGTCATATGACCTTGGGAGCTCCTTCAAGGACTGGAGACCATTGCGGGCCTGGGGAGGTATCATTTGGTTTTGGTGGTAGGTATGATTCTGGCGCTCCTCATGGTTGCTGTCAGTGTCTGTGGAATCTTGACCACTGTTGTTTGGGGAAAGACCTCTGTCAGAAGACAGACTTTTGTCCCTCAGGTGGGCATGGCTCTTTTCTGTATCTTGTGAGTTGCCATTTGACATTTCAGAGCGGGTGAGTGGTATTGGATACAAGCTGTTGATGACAGGGACCATTTCAGAAGTGGGAGCTGGTGGGGTTTGCACAAGAGGACGCAGTGCTTCTGCCCCAAGGTAGGTGATGGCATTATTTATGGCTTGGTCCATCATACGTCCCTGCATCATCTCAGTTTCCTTTTCATACATGTAACTTGAACTGTAATTAACATCAAAGCTATGTCGCTTTTCACCTACAAGAGAAAAAAGAAATTAAATTTACTGAGTGAATTCTGTCTTCACATTTTAGGATACTTTTCTATATAACAATAGTCCCTAGACAAGAAAGATTTGAATTTTAGCTGTCTGCTCCTTGGATCAAGGATGCTGTTTGCGTAAGTGAAGTAGTTTTCCAAATCAGAAGCTTCTGGTAAAAGAGATGTTAATTTAACAACCTGGTGTTCCTGGCCAATCCATCACTGAATTTTGATCGGTCCAGGATTCAGAGAAAAAAATTATTTCAGCAAAAGTTTTCAAAGATTCAAAAGATTTCAAAATTGCTACCTGTTTTTAAATATAAAATGTGAGCATCAATATGTGAAAAAGTTGTTAAAAGTGTCAATCATAAACAAAATGTTCTATATTAGGATCCTTGAATATTCCATCTAGTTTTTAAATCGTCTCCTCAGAAACTATAACCTCCTATAACAGGGAGAGCAAACAGGAGTTCCTGACTGGATTTTCTTTATACTGTTTATTGATTTTTACACGCTTGATATATTTTATTTTTATTTGTCTCTTTATAAACATAGTAGTTGGAGTGCCCCAGTGACAAGATTATGTAGGGGTAATGGAAAGATTTTGCCCCCCAGGTTTTTTTTGTATAGAAATCCTTAACCAAGCTTTTCATTTGCAATTTTTAAAATTCAATTTGGACCTGATTCTTCAGTTTAGTTTTATGCCAGGGCAACTACTGACTTTTGTGCAGTTATGATAGCATGAAAAGGGAGTAACACAGTGAATTATCATTATGTTCACTATATTTTAATAACTTTAAATTAACAAGTATTTATGCATATTCCCAACCTAGATGGACAGCATTGCACAGATTCCCTAGGAGTGAAGCGTCTTAACTTTAATTCTGAGAAAGCTGTTATATACCATAGATATGATAATTATGTATGAAGGTATGTATATAGAGAAAAAACCTGATATATTTGTAGTCACCTTAATATAGGACTTTATTTTGACTAGCTATAATAGTCGCACAGGAGAGCAAAAACTGTCCCTGCTCTGGTTATGTTAAGGATGTGTGCACTGAGGATGTGCGCACAGTGGGAATGACAGTAGGGTAAAAGGATTACACACCTGTTTCCTTGCAGACCTGATAGCCAGGGATGGGACAAGGAAAGATAGCACTGGCCCAGACAGGTACTGCCCCTATATGCCAGGTGCAAAGAGAGAAAAAAGTTGCATCCCAAAGGAGGCAGAAATAGCTTCTTCTTTTTTTGGATGTCTAGAAATACATAACTGAATTCTGTGGTTAAATAAAACTTACGATTGTTCATAGTTAACAAAAGGGACAAGCCTAAAGGTTCACGTGCAAGTGACTTGAAAACATCAGATCCACTAATTTTTGAGTTACGGTAACTTGAATAGGACAGATGTTTATCAGTCACCTGTCAACATTATGACTCAATGTATATGAAACTCATCAGGTTTCACTGCAAAGATAGCAAAACCAGGAGCTCACGTTTCTTTTATAAAACACTTAGAAAAAAGGTTAGTGAACCACAAGAATGTAACTGCTTCCAACCCTCAACAAAACTTATGATCCAGCTTCTACTCAAAAGGAACCAAAATGGTATAACACATTTGGATGACTCATAACACCAGTTCTAGATGAGCAAAATATTTAATTAAAAATTAAATTTAAAAAGTAACAAAATAAAAAATATACAGAACCTTACTGTAAAACTCACGATTAAAACCCAGTGGTCATGTAAGACATGAAACAAAAGCCTTGACCCCTTATGGTTACTGAAAATCTCACAGTATTTTTCCCATGGGGAATGTGAGCCCTGATGTCTTTCTCAAATTCCCACTGCAGTTATTTTCATTCTGCTTCCCTAAAAATAACAATTAGACAGAATATCCTTCTTCATTCTTTGGACTTAAATAGCTGTTCAGTGTTGCTCTGTACCTTTGAAAAGCTACTATGTTTTATACTAGAAGCAGCTCCATCTCAGCAGGGGTCAAAGAATCCCTATAGACAGTAGTGTATCAAGTTATTTAATTTGTAACGTACTGGGGGACAAAAGGTATTACATATTTTATAATCTACTATTAAGTGGGATTACTATCAGATTTTACAATCATAGGAAATAAATGTCCCCAAAATTAATATGTTCATTTATAGCAAATTAAAATATGACAATGTAATATTATAGAAACAATGGGCCAAAAGGGACCTGGAAGGTCATCAAATATAGGCAAATGGACTGTTTCACTGTTTTGGCTTTGGTTTATGTCAACATCAACTCGTTGCTAAAATCTGACAAAAGATGGAACAAAACCCAATTTAATAAAGACAGCAACTGGAGGGAAAAGAACAGCAGGTTGGGAACAAGGATTTCATAAATTAACAATAGCATGGATTTACAAAGTAGCAATACACTTTTTTACAACCTTGTGGAACAATGCTAGTGATACCTGTGGATTAAATGAGTATATTGCTCCCACAGGAAGACAAAGATTTTATGAAATACTAAAATTGTAACCAAATTTAAGAACTAAATTCAGTGTCTCATACTCTTCAATTACTATGTAATGCACTACCCGCTTTAAGAAAAATCTTTGCTCATTTTATCTTTTTACCTCAGCACAGTGCAAAACTTTCCCCTTCAGAATTCACACGATTGTACAGTATATGACACATACCCATGTGTTGCTCAGTGATGCTGTCTTACTCTACAGTGGTATGAAGATTTTTGCAACTTGATGAGGTGCAGACCCTGAAAACAGGGAGTTAACCTGCATCCTGTTGCTCTGTTAACCAAGGCAGGCCATTTCTCATTAGTTACCTGACACAAAGAGTTAGTGGTAACTGCTGAAGTGCCAAAACTACAATAGCACTTTTACCACTTGTGACAAATATATTTTTAATAATGCACTCAAAATGGAAAGGACCTCATATAAGGAAGGAACAAGTAGTACGCTACAGGTTAGATGCTCCGTTTAACTGGCACAATTTCATTGACTTCCACAGAGTTACTCTGATTTATACCAGCTGAGAATCTGGACCACTGTAAGTTCTATTTAGGAGTGAGATGTCACCAGGACAGTCACTTGGGAGAGCTAGTTTATAGTGGGGGGGATCCCACTCTGTATTAATCTTACAGGGCATCAGCTCTGCTCAGCCATTTTTTTTCTGGAGCATTAAATTAATTAGGAATTATGAAGGGACACAGTTTGCAAGTTTGGTAGAAAGGCAGACACAATAGAAACCTGGTGGGAAAAAGGGAAGGGCAAGATGGAAAAATTCCACCCAAATATTAGTTCTCTCAAAACTCAGGTGAAAGCCGAAGGCAGATAATAAGACACAAAGTAATGGTATCAAGCAGGTTAGAGCTGTCAGGGATATGGTTTCCCTGTTTGCATATTTACTAGTAATTGTAGCTGTACACACCCACAAAAATTATTTATGCAGTGTGGCTACTACTGGGCAGAATGAGAGAAGCTGTATTTTAGAACCATTTACATGACAGGTTGGAATTTGTCCTAAAATAATGCTTGTGTAAGTTTTCAGAGCATCATCTACTTAAGGAAGTGCCAATGTACACTTTTTGTTCAGCAGGCTTTTTTCATAGAAATGAGATTTGGCAAGCTGTCTGGCTTACATTTCCCTATCCTTCCTTCCTGAGGAAATGCAAAAAATCAGCACTCATTCTGAGAACTCTGTTTCCCAAGAAATCACAAAGCTGTCCTGGCAGATTTTCACTCCTACACATGCAGTTCAAGATGTCACAAAAGTCAAATCAAGGTCGGACAGACTGCTGCTGCAAACATGCTTCCCAAGGATAAAAGGGAGTGAGTCATTTTTCACATGTTACCCAGCAACATCATACCTGTAGTTGAGGTTCTAGAGAAACAGCAAGTTTCAGGAATCAATGTCTTTGTGTCTTGATGAGAACCACCACTGGCCCTCTAACCTGTCCACAAAATCTCTTCTTCATACCACAGCCTCAACATGTGCTATCAACAGACTCCATTACTGGAGCACTACAAAGAATCTTTACAGGCTTCCATCCTGCAAGGTGATGAACACATGGACCCCATGCAGCAAAACTCTTCAGCGTATGCTTACGTTTATGCACATATTTTAGTGCTACTGAAGTCAAAGTTCAGAAGATGGCTATGTGTTTGTTTGCCCCACATGTAAAAGAGTGTTTAGCACCTCACAGGAATCACCCTCTGTCAATAGCGAAAAGAAAAATCTGAAACTGCTCCTAATGCTAAGAAAAGTGCTGATGAACATGAAAAGCACTGTTTTCATGCTTTTTTGGTATCACAATGTAGCCTGCATAGCCTAATCCCCACAGTCAACATTTTCAAATCTAGATACCTAAAGGTAGGCTCTTCTAAATCTTTACTTCAGTAGCCAAATATTGTACAATGCTTTCATTTTCAGATGTGCTAGATCACGGAAGCCAGTGTGAGCTCAGTACCTTTGATAGACAAGTCACTTTTATTTCAGCATCTACATGTGAATTTAGGAGGCTACCTTAAACTTCCTAAGATTCGGAAAATTTGGGTCCACAAGTTCAAGAGGGATTCTTGGTACTTATGCAGTTATGGACCAGTCTAAAATAAGCTGTTCAAGTTCTCTAACAGTTGATTTTTACCACTAGTTTCTCCCTGTTCCCCCCTCCTCTCCTGCAACACATGCATGAACCAAAATTGCCAGGGGGCAATATTTGCAACAGAAAATGTACATGAAGTAAAATAAGCATCCTATTCCATATACATGCCCTGAAAAAAATAATGTCTAGGACAATATTAGCACTAGTTGCATAACTGCTGCCTAATTAAATTTGTAACGTAGAACATGGCTTCATATAGTCCAAAAATAAGGTTCAATATTATTTTTGCTAAAGGCAAATAAAAGAAATATGATCAGCAGAAAGAAATAACAGCATCTGTCATAGATGGAGATAAAAAAATTGCTATCAAATTTAGGATTGTTTAAAGATGTACTCTAGGATTGGTTATCTACTTCAATTTAAATACCATGGTATTTAGCTTTCTATATAAACTTACAAGAACTCTAGCTACACAAGAGCAAAGTAGTACCATTATTTCAAAAGTAAATGCATTTTAAAATTATATTAATTTCTGCAGAAACATCATAGCTAGTTTAGCTAACAAATATTATAAACTATAGTCAGATACGTTTCTCTGATAATTTGTTAAAAATTATTGCTGAATGCTCAAGTTTCAATATAGCTGAAATGAAATGAAAGCATCTATAAACTTTAACAACAGAGAGTATCAAGTTATGTCTAACCTTGCTGTTTAAGATTTCCAATTTGCAAAACACTGAATAAAACTCAGCCCTAAATAAATTCTATGGAAGTGTTCTGTAGAAATATTTGTTTAATTAGGGCAAGAAAGAGTTTGACACTATCAGGGTCATATTTTTAAAAATGACTTGCAAAAATTAAATAATCTCCTGCCTTTGGGCATAATTCTGAACAATGCTGGTTGCCTCCTGCAAGGAGGAACTGAGTACATTCTCCATTGCCTACAAAAAGGCTGGAGGGCACTCAGCACCTATCAGGATCAAGCCATTAAGTTCTTTTCCAGCAAAAGCCTGACTGAGTTTCAAACATATTCAATTTGAAAAATGCACTAGAAAAATGTGTATTTATAAATAATATTAATGTATACAAAATACAGTATTAATTTATCTCTATTTCTTATTTAACTAACTGAAAATTTTCTGAGGTCTATCAAATACCTATAGGCAGTAAGTGTAAACATCATGGAAAACAGAAGTTACCCTATTTAAATAAAATATGAACTAGCAAAAGTCCTTCAAGACTGCTATTGTTCTGCTGATTAACAACCCTCACATATTTAACTGCAGCATGTGAAAAGACTTTTATTCTTACCAATAAATTTCTGAGGCATTGAACTTTTTCGCTTTGCCACGTTGCTCGCTAACCTGTCCAACACGAGTGCTCTTTCACTTCCCATCTCTGCTTTGATGTGCCTTGCCTCCACGCTTGCTAGTTTGGAAAATGTGAAAAGAACTCCACGCTTGCTAGTTTGGAAAATGTGAAAAAAAAAAAGACGTAGGTGAAAAACAAAAAAAAAAAAAGGAAGAGATGAATGGTTTTAACTCCAGAGTTTGCCACTCTAACTGGAAGGAAACAGTTTGGAGATATGATGTAACTTGTTTTGTTGTTTTCCTGTTGTTCTTGTTCTTGTTCCCTGTGTCTTGGGCACCAGTTGCGGTCAGTGGAACCAAGCACAGAAACACATACAAATCTTGCAGTCTAAAGCTCATGCAGGAGAGCGTAGCCCATACAAAACCAATATCTTCATTAGCAAGAGGAAGTGTAAAATAAACAGGGTGGACGAGGTTGGTTACAAAATATAGATGGAGATATAACCTCGGTTCATCTTTCTTTTGGTTCTAAGTAACACTCTGTGGCACCTGCAGACCAATAAAGTTCTTCAAGACAAGTTAAAAAAGAGATACTCCATTTCTTTGTCATATACCAAAAATACATTTCTTTTAATACTATTCATAAACAGAGCTCCTTACTAAGCTAGCCACAAAGAAACGAGTACAAAATCTCTTTACATATAAGTTATATTTCTCTTCTTTTTATAAAAATTAACCCTCCAATAATAACTTACTTTCCTCCTCGCTTTTTTCCAGGTTCTAGAAAAAAAACCATCTAAATGATAACAGCATAGAATCCAGTATCCTTAAAAATAATCTTTTTGTTACAGCTGAAATTAACTGGCCATATTTTACCTTTGCAAAATATTTTTAACAGTTTTTCAGAGCTATTTAAAAATTATCAAATTGCCCAAAACCTATAAACATAGGAACACCATGCAGGTATCTTGTTCTATGTAATGTTCATTTAATCTAGTGGCTTCTGATGATTTTAAGTAACTTACCATTTTCTAAAGTAAGACTCTAGGTGTACTAGCCAGTGCTCACCATCTCACACCATGCATGCTGTCAACCTCACAGAGACTGTGCAGACGTTTAGATTGGACAAGCTAAACCTATTATGTTTGCCACCTCATCACAGTACTGCTAGACTCATTTTGAATTTAACTGCTGTAACTCCCCCTAAAATTTAGTTTTCTCCACAGGGACAGGTTGTTTATTATTGTTGTTATTGTTGTTGTTGTTGTATCATAACTGTTCAAAAAATATATGCTATATGACCTGATAAATGTGTTTTAACAGGGGTTGTCAACCGGGGGGTACGCATACTCCCAGGGGTACTTGAGAAGGCCCTAAGGGGTACGCGCGGGTGGGCAAGGACAGAGCACCGCCATGCACCACCCTGCGCTGCTGTGCAGGCACCACCCACCCAGCTGGATATGGGGAGGAGGGGCAGGGGATGCTTGCACGCGATGGTTGCTGTCACACTGTGTTCGGCTGCACGCCACCCTCCCACTCCGTGTCCAGCTGCTGGGGGTACACTGATCCAAAAAGACTGAAAACCCCTGCATTATAAAAAAGCAGATAGAGTGTTTCATTGTGGATTTTTCTATTTGATGAAAATGTTTAACTGAAAATACAAGTATCAGTATTACCTCTTGAGGAAACTGTTTGCGTTTTTTAGACTATAATGTATTAATGTTCCATCAGTAGTAAGTGGCATTTATAAAACAAGTAATGCTACATTAAACATTAAAATACTAGAGATAAAACCTAGCATGGTTTTTGGGCTAAGGTGTTTTGTATTTACCATTCCTCACTCCTAGGATTCTTCTGATAGGTATAGGAATAGGAGCTGAGAATGTGTACTTAAAATAAAGTAACATGGAGGGAAGAACCAAAAAGAGGAAAATGTTTGAGAGGTGTAGGGGTGCCTGAGAGAATAAAAAGAAATAGAAAAAGCAAACAAAAATTATTATACATTCTGGTAGGATCTGGGAAGAAAAAAACCAAAAAAGCAGTAATGTTATCTCACAGATTTATTATGTTCATTCTTGCTTTGATGTTTCTCATTGCAGTGAAAACCTGGGGAAAATGCTCCTAATTGGAAAATATATTATTATTATTATTTGGCTTGTTTTGGGTGTTCATTGGGCACATCTACATCTGCCCCCAACTGTGCAGTTGTTACTGTGCAGTCATTTAGTACTTGCTTTAGCAAATATGGGTATTTAAAAAAAAAGTACTTGGTTTAGTACTTTAGCTAGTACTAAATGACTGTGCACTAACCATCATTAGTAGATTGACAAAAGTAATTAGCTACTGCAGGAATTGAAGAAAATCTGGGGCATAAAAAATATAAGCATAATATCATTTTTATAATTAATATGGAAAGTAACAAAATATTTTCAATATCAATATCAATTATTTGAGATGTGTTGGGATTTCACAACAGTTATCAGAACAGCAGTACATGAACTGTACATTGACTCTATTATAAGACTAGGGACCCTTCAGAAATCAACACTGATGTGCTCCTTAAAATACTGCGGAAGATGATATCTTAAACTCATAGACACCTTGTTCTTAATTATACCCACGGTAGTGATTATACCCCAGCTTCCCAGGTACTGGAGTTAAAAAAAAAAAAAGATCAAATATTTGGTAAATACCAGCCAACAGAAGCTGAATGAGTGGTATGACTTTATTTAGCCCTATCATTTTTGCTGAGGTCACAGATGGAAATCAAAAGAAGGCAATGCAGTAACATTAAAGGCATGGACACATGAGTAAGTTACCACAAAAAGTAAATAGGGTCAGACCTTACAGCTACTCCTCTGTACCTGCCTGTGTGCATGCTCTTACCTCATGATTAATGAAAGGTAGTCCACAGCAGCTCACCTGTCTTTCTTTGAGGGATAAGATACTGTGGGCTAGTTATCATTTACCTTAGGATAAAAGCATGCACATAGAATTATACAAATAATGTAATAAGAGACATATATTGCCACAAAGAGCTTACAGTCTAAAAGGGAAAGCAGAAAAGAGTGGGAGTGGTAAAAGAGGATCACAGAGGGGAAGTTACTTTCACAAGATCATACAGCAGGTTGGACCATGGTAACCTTACTATAATGGAATAACTTTATTTTACAGTATCATACCTGGATACTGCAAGTATTTGGTGCATGGTTTAGGCAGGAAAGAAATCTATCATGAAAGAAGAACACAGATACTTTTAAAGTAATGCAGACTTGCTAAGTGGCAACAGTTCTTGTGAGTGATATTTTTTATCACTCACAGGTCTCTTGAGAGACCCGAGGGAGGGTACTTGGTACCCAAAGTCTTATCTATATCCTCCCAACTCTATAGTTGATTCATTTTTCCAGGATCATCATAGCTACAATATCACCCCAACTCTACCATGACTTAAACACACTTTGGGTGTGTCTACACTTTAATGAGCACTAGTCTATTTTAATATGCATTAAAGCACCACTAAAAATGTGATATTTAGTTCATGCACATTAAAATAGGCTAATGTGAATTAAGGGTGTCTGAAAGCCGCTCTAATTAAAGTGCCCACAGCATCACATGTATTCAATGTCCTGTGCTTCAAAATGGCAGCGGGGACACTTTAATAAAAGCTCATTCAATGCCCATTCAATGAGCTTTAATTAAAGTGTCCCCACTACCATTTTGAAATGCGGGGACACTGAATACATGTGATGTGTAGGCTGCTGGAGTGTGTTAATTAGAACACTCCAGCAGAGTTGCAGCATACTCGATTGAGTCTGCTCTGGCGTGTGCTAATTAGCACGCACCAGAACAGAGCTCCATCACATGTATAGGTGCCCTAAGTGTCCTTTAAAAACCATGCTCTTTAGTTACTGCATGTTAAGACAGGCTAATAAGGTACCTATACATGAGTGTGGAGCAGATTTGATTAGTCGAGCATGCTGGAGTGACCATGCTCCAGCTAACATCCATGCCTTGTGTATCAGCATCCCTGTGCTTCAAAAGCTTGTTGAATGAGCTTTAGATAAAGCACCCCCACCACCTTTTGAAGCTGGTAACACTGATCTACAAGATACTTTGGGTGCTTTAATTAAAGGGGCTCTTGGAGCTGCTGTAATTAAAAGCCTCTCCCCCCACATCTAGAAAACATGCATGGATGCCTATTACGTGCATTTTCCTAGTACCGCAGAATGGAGGCACTAGATTTAATGCACATTAACTAAAGTGCGTTAATGCATGTGTAGACTCACCCTTTATGAGGTATTAGATGTAGGCCAATGTATTTTTGTTGCCAATAATCAACAGTAGAAATAATGTAAAATATACCAAAAATGAAGTATCATCCTCCTCTAAGCTATTGTGCGGCATTTTTTGTTCATTACAAAATACGTTAATACTTACTTGTTTACTGTTACTGTCACTAGTATGAGATGAGTTTCAGTCAGTACTAAGCATGACTCACCAAACCTCAACTTTAATAATTTTTTAATGTTTATACAGCATTTTGAAAATGTAAAGTGCTTCATAAGTGCTCAGTATCAAACTGTTTAAGGCCTGAAATCTAGCTACGAATATGACTCATAGGATAGCAGAGTCTGATTCATGCATGTGTTTCTCTGGTTTCATGGGGGTACAACCCCATTGATTTATATATATGATAAAGGTGCCTTAAAAATAATTACTTTTCTATTGTGATTTTTTTTCCAAATTGTCCCAATGAGCCTTTCAAACTTAAAAAACCAATACAAATATAAACAAAGATCACTTTATGGGGTGCTAGCATTCAGCTTATTCTAGCATAAGACAGTATTGAAATACTACATAACAATTTTCATGAGAAAATGTGCGAAAGACAGAATATCAGCAACAGTAGAAACTGCATAGGAAAGACAGATAGACACAATGTAATTAGCTAAATTGGATTTTAACCAGGACTTTTGGATTAACTCTTGCATACAGTGCCATGAGATCTTCAATGCCAGGATGTCAGTTTATACCTCATCCAAAAGCTGGAGCATCCCATAATTCAGTAATTGATGGCACCAAGCTGGGATATTGGTTCAACACTAATATAGGAGGAAA